TTTCTTTTTCCAATGTATGCAAGACAATTTCTTAATATTGTCCTGGAAAATGACTACATGTTGCGAAATTTGCTACGAAATGAATTGTGTTTAGTTTTTTTGGTTGTTTCATCATTCATGTTTGAGGGCAAAAGGTACCATTTTGCCCCTTAACTTTTCGACTTTTAGGGTTTTTGCCCTCCATATTACAATACATGGATTTTTATCCTCAATGTTTTCGAGTTGAGGAAATGAGGCAAAATTTAATGCCGGAACGTCACATGTAGCACGTGCACCGTTGGCTTCCATCAAGTATGCGCATGTCAGCGCCAACTCAGAATTTTTTGACAACCTGGCATGCCAACTTGGAACCCCATGAGCGGGAAGTTTACTTGCTGCCATTTTTTTGTGGGTCCCACCGTAGACCAAAGGTTTGAAAAAAAAATTAAATCCCCGATTCAGTCCCTCAACTTTCATTTTTGAATGAAATTTACCTTCGAACTTAAAAAAGTACTAAAAAACTCTTTCCTTTAATAAATAAAAATTTCTTTTTTTTTTTTCTTTTTTCTTTCCTTTCCTTTTTTTTTCTCCTTCACTTTCCTTTTCTCCTTCCCCTCTCTACTGGGTTCGAAGGAACCCAGCACCAGCGCCTGGGTTCTTGATCTATGAGTCTTGGCAAGCCTAACAAGGCCATCCTGCTCTATGAGTCTTGAACTTTCAAACTGAGCATCCTGATCTTCTCCTGGGAGTTTTTCCTATACAAAAGAAGAGAGAATGTAAATCACTTGCAATCCCCATTAACCCATTACAGCTTTCAAGGTTAGATTTTTACTATGTCAATAAAATAAAGAAAGGAAATCCAAGAAAGAAACAATTTTTCTTGGTTTTTAGAAGGAGAAAACAAAAACCCACTTTTGCTTTGTTGACTAGAGTTCAATCCATACCATTGAAAGATGGTAGAAAGATCAGATTTGTCTCATGGAAGTAGAGATTTGATGGGTATGCATGCTTGAGGTTGAGGGTATATAATTTTAAGAAACGAAAAATGGGAAATGAAGAAACCCAGGCCCTGGGTTCCATCGAACCCAGGCGTGTTGGGTTCGGAGGAACCCAGGGCCTGGGTTCAAGGAACCCGCGCCTGGGTTCCATTGAACCTAGGCGTGCTGGGTTCGCCTGGTTCCCTGAACCCAGGCCCTGGGTTCCTTCGAAGGAACCTGCGCCTGGGTTCCATCGAACCCAGGCGTGCTGGGTTCGCTTGATTCCCTGAACCCAGGCCTTGGGTTCCTTCGAACCCAGTAGGGAGGGGAAGGAGAAAAGGAAAGAGAAGGAGAAAAAAAAAAAGGAAAGGAAAGAAAAAAGAAGAAAAAGAAATTTTTATTTATAAAAGGAAAGATTTTTTTAGTATTTTTTTAAGTTTGAAGGTAAATTTAGTTCAAAAATGAAAGTTGAGGGACTGAATCGGGGATTTAACCTTTTTTTTCAAACCTTTGGTCTACAGTGGGACCCACAAAAAAATGGCAGCAGGTAAACTTCCCGCTCGTGGGGTTCCAAGTTGGCATGCTAAGTTGTCAAAAAATTCTGAGTTGACGCTGACATGCGCATACTTGACGGAAGCCAACGGTGCACGTGCTACACGTGACGTTCCGACGTTAAATTTTACCTCATTTCCTCAACTCGAAAACATTGAGGGTAAAAATCCATGTATTGTAATATGGAGGGCAAAAACCCTAAAAGTCGAAAGGTTAAGGGGTAAAATGATACCTTTTGCCCATGTTTGAGTAAGGATTTGAAGGTTGGACTTTTGCTGGCCGAACAGTCAGACCCTTGGATTAGGTGGGAGTCGTGGCGCC